GTTGAAGTACTTTACGATGCGGGTCTCTGAGTACAAATGGCACCGTCTCATTGTATTCACCCGAGAGGATGCAACATACTTTCGAATCGGTACCGGAACCAGTTCGGCGACCTGTGCTCACAATAAGCTCATACAAATACTCGTCTTTCGGATTGTTCTCAGCCAGTGGTGTGACACCCAACTGGAATCAGGGACGGTGGAGAGAAGAGCGAGGGAGTGGACGGGAGGAGTTGTGAAACAAGTGAACACGTCACACAGGTTAATGAGAGAAATAAAGGAATAATAAACAAATGAGTGCTTTCCAGTTAGCCGTAAGAGACCAGTGGTCGGTCAAGTACAATTATCTGTGGGCTATATCAACGTGCTATCTGTGCCTTATTGATGCTACCTGTACCACAGTTAAGGTGCCAATTAGTTCAAATTTAAAGTCAAATGTAACTTTTTATTACGCGTGTTTACAAGCTGAAGTTTATCGAATCTAATAGGTCATGTACACAAAATTGGAATGTTAGTCCAATGAAAAAAATGAAATTACGAATTATCACATTCACTTACGGATGCTAGACAGTTGGGTGCCTTAATGTTTTTATTTATCCGCGACTTGAATGAACCTTGTTTGAAGCAAAAACAAATTGCGATGGAAGAGAATTACAGGCATTGCATTGCTCTGAGACTGAAACAGTGATGCATACAGTCCTGCCGAGTCTTTCAGAGCAACACTTTACAGGGATGTACCCTGAATCGATCATTCTTGTGCAGTTTCAACAGAGCGGTTAGGTTGACGTAGTGTTTGAATTACGAGTATCATGTCTCCCCGAATTCGGCGGTGTTGAGATAAATAGACTCCGAGGATTTCCGGATTTTATACGTCAGTCTTGGATTACAACCCTTTTACCATTTTTTCTGATTTGTGGAAGTTCAGGTGCTTCTTTGCCACGACCTAGTCATGGATTCCAAACGTGGGTAGTATACTCAGTGGGTAGTCCAATGTGTGTTGATACCAAACGGGGCAATAAGTCAGTTTAGAATGGTCCAAAAACACGTTTGAATAATCCAACTTACGTTAGACCTATTGATGACGCTCTAGCACAATGCGTGGAACATTATAGATCCCCCGAACAATAACTTCCGAATCGTCTTTGGTTTTAGCACACGGTTATGACTGGTTTCCAAGATCGAATAGACCCCTGCGACGTAATGATGCAACCTTCCACTTCTGATCGTTAAAATTGATGTCGTGGATTGTAGGCATTTGGTAAGCTTTGTCGACAGTATCTTACAGTGTTTTTTGTACTACTCTCCATGTCACGGCGTCGTTTATGAATGCTAAGAAAAGGTAAAGACCAAGTATCGATCCTTGTGAAATTCCCCGTACAGCAGTGATTGATCCCGTTAGAGAACCACTAACTGGAAATAATATGGTTTGTTGTTGAATAAATTCCCCAATGCAGTCAGAGAGAATTCCTCTGAGATCGTAGTTATGGAGCTTTCACAGTAGTTTATGATGGTTCACTCTATCAAAGCCTTCGGAGAATTCCAAGTAGACTACACCTACTGCCTTCCCTGTGTCAACTGCTCTTGCTCACTCATTTCGTGCAAGCAATAAATCTGTGGTGCACGACTGTTTTGGTCGAAACCCGCTTTGAACTGGAAACAGAATTGTATATTTCTCCATATACTCCATCAGATGATCAGCAACAGTCAATTCTAATACTTTTGACAGAACAATGAAGTCTGTATTTGGATGCTTCGTCTACAAAGAAGCATCTACAGCTTTATTTAACTAAGCGATCTTCGATATAACATAGTATTGCTCAAGCGATATGCACTGAAGTCAGATGAGATTGGGATCAAACAAACATGAAACGTGTGAACAAGGGAAGCTAAACAACCAGAATTGCGAGAAGTGATTTGCTGCATATGTTGATTGGGCCAGACAACATCACATTTAAGCAGCTTATATGCAAGGTTTGGTCAAACAACGGAATTCATTCGCGGTTAGCGAAACAATTCACGCATATGGTTAAAATATACTGACACTGTGTGACTCACTTTTTCCACATCCTTCAAGTCCCTTCGCCGAGCCCAAATAAATAGCAAAATGAAAATAGCCAAAATTGCTATTTCCGTTGCGTACAGAGTGGGATTTTTCGTGAAATCCATATTGGCAAACACATAATCAAAATCGATCGCATTCGGCAGCTCCAACCAACCAGAAGCAAATGTGGACAAATGGGAACACAAACAGTGTGTCCTCATTGTGGTTGTTCTGGGGCCAACCTAGAGGTAACGTCAAAAATAAGAGAGAAAAAAGGATTGTCTAAAGTCAACAAAAAGCTGCTGATGTCTAAATGGAGATGCAGAGGAAACAATCCGTCATATGGTTAGAAGAAAAAAATCATTCCATTTATATTTACACACAGCGTAGTTACTAGATTTAGTTCAACCATCTTATCAGTACTGTGCTGTTGCGTCGCTCCTGCCAAATCATGGACAACAGAGCCGGGATGCTTGGGAATAACAGTTCTATCTTCCAACCCAGAAGAAGATGAAAGATAGTATGTTATGCGGATAAGGTACAATTAAAAAAGCAGGAAATAGAAGTTCATTGCTCTATTATCCGTCACGTACACATTCAAACCCCAGTGTCCGCTATCTTCAATGCGGTTTGTTACCTTGGTTTAGGAAGGACGAAAGGGTTTTCTAAGAATAAAATAGCAGCTAAATACGGTAAAATAATAAGAATAATACAGTAATACGTACCACACATCCATCGGGAGACCAAGTTCGGGGATTTTCTGTGTTGGTGCTCACACACGTACTGAGGTAGATGCGACTCAATGCGGTGTTGTTAATTTGATCCCGATATGGATACGGAATAGGTGGTGGTTTATCCTCGCCGTATTGATTCAATTCGGACGGATTCAATTGTCGATAGCCAATATAAATTCTGGATTTTTCCTCTGGGCTCAGAGTAGCAGCCGCACTGTTGTTAAGTGCCTTTCTACGGGCTTCGATCAGCTGCTTGTTATTTAGGAAGAATGTGTAAGGATATCCTTCCTGATCCGGGTCCATGGTGTTATTCACTGAAAGCACGTTGAAAGAAGTTGAACAGATCACTAAACAGACTGGCTTACAAGGAAATTCAATCGAATGTGTAACACGGAAAAGACAGGGATTATCGAATACGCCACAGAAGTTCACTTGCTAAAAGCGTCATCTTTGCACCATCTCCGAAAAGCCTTCGTTGGTAATCAGCTCTCAAATCAACACTGTCAAATCAGCTGCGTACGAAACTTGAACTGCACCACAAGTAAATCATTTCCAACACATAAGCACTGGAAAACTGGATTCACTCAGAATATTCTGCTTTCGAAGGCCTCAGTATGGTCGGGGTTGGTTGTCTCTGGTTGGGGCTGGTTACTCTGTTAAGACCGAATTCCAACCGCAGCGCTATGCACAGTATTTCTAAGGGACCGCAACCCAACACAAGAACTCAGATCATACGAACCGGGTTAACGATTTAATGAAAGAACTTGAGAATACACCAATCGATTAAGCGATGGTCTAAAACTAGGCCAAGCTGGCGCACGGACAAAACGGATGGGAAGGATATTAGTCAGTGTCTGTCACATGATTGAAATAGCAATGGGAACTGATAGACGAATGCGTACGTAGCACACTCTTTCCTTGTATCTTGCGAAATGCATCTATACGACCAAGCGTCTCAAATAGCCCTATTCACTGCCTTCTCGTGGCATAGGTTTTTTCCCACCGAAGTGAGAGGCCGAAAAGCCAACATCCGGGGCTATGACTGGATCGGTGAACCCTTGACAGTCGACCCAGCGGAGTTGGTCAAAAACTCTGATTTCAAACCAACCAAGAGGAGGCGTCCGAACCACATTCACCTACACCTTGTTGGTTGTGGCAGTGGTCACTGGCTCACTCGGGTATCGAGGTGCACTGGGCAGCTTGGACGTTTGACCTCATCCAAAGGGCGCATGTTTCGATGAGCTGGACATCAGCCCCTTAATGGATTGCGGTTTTCGCAAATCACCCCACTGCCTTGCGAGTTAGGCTTTGGCTAACCCAAGGCTCTGATTGTGAACTTCACCAGAAAATTCACCTACCCGGGCTTGGGTAACCTGGTAGTATTTGGCCCACATGCAAATCATGAAATGTTTTTCTTTTCATAAGGGTTATTGTACCGTGATTTGTTTGGCACACAGTCTGGCGTCAGACGTGTGTGAAATATAAATACATTACAAAAAATTCTACATTAGTTCTATTCATAATCAGGGTGTATAAAATTAGTCCGTCCAGCTTCTTCATACGCAAAAGTTAACCCTGCACTGTTGTGCGCCGATTTAAGTTTCTGTCTTCCAACTACCCAACCAACAATGAGTGTAAACGGGAGAAGAATAAAGCTGCGTGTACCATGCATCAGGTAGAAGCCACAGGATGCAAACAAGCTAAGTAACCACATACTAAGAATAGTTTCATAAGAATTATTATTTACAACATTCCGCTATATAATTCAGTATATCTAAACATCACTTAGGGCGATCAACAGATCCCCAACTGAGAAACCGAAGATGACCTATGCGATCTAGTTCGCCGGTGAGTTGTCATTCCTTTATGCTCTGGTGTGGTCTAACAAACATTGTACTTCTTTCAAGTAGTACTTCTCACGGCAAATGGTAACATGCGTACAGCAAGTAACCGCAATCCGCAAGGCAAAAAGGCAAAATGCGTTAGTCTTTGACGACTACAACTTTTTAAACCTCCGTCCAATCTCACCGCCGCTTATCCATTTATACCACCAAACTAATGCAATGAACCTAGACCGGTTTGTTCGAGCAGCGACATTATGTGTTTATCTTTCTTCACAGATGACCGGCTGTCCCAGCGCTGCCAAGAATGTTTCAAGCCGGTGAACGCCTATCAAGCCGGTCGTAGGCGAGCTGAAATTTCATCTGTGGTTCCTCCGGTAGGAGTCTGAAGCCTGCGCTTTTGAGAAGCCGTTTGAACTGGCCTGAAAAGTGCCCTCCCGTTTAACACCGAAATCTTATGCTGTGGTATTTTTTAACCAAATTTTATCCCATTGCTATCATGAGAATGACACCAACATTTTTCCAAAACCTCATTGAATTCTATTCAAAACTAATAACGTTTCGGGAATAGAATGAAGTTAGAGTAGTGGGGGATTTAGTTTGATCATCAGATCAATTTCGTCATTTAAAGAGTAAACGAAGCATGAATGGGAATCTGTGAATAACTGGATAGCTGATTCGACCTAGTTGTGCATAATCGGCACAGCAGGTAACAATGAAGATTCTGTTTCACTAGTTTGGAAAGATGACAACCGAATTGATATACCAGATACACCCGTATGTGTAAATATTATACAACGACTGCACACAGCTCTATATGATGCGTCGTTTTTTGAGCCGCTCGGGGGGGAGCATTTCTTCAAGTTGACACAAACAATCGGCAATACTGGAAATGTCAGGAAAAATTCAGTCTTCTCTCGGGTTAGTTGGAACCATCTTTGTACAACCGGGTGCCGCTTATAAACCAAATTTGCTTTGGTGTGTTCAACAATCAACCATTAGTGGGCGGATGTGCTGTCTCTCCAAAGCAGTGTCATGTCTTTTCATTTTTTGTCGTTGCTCGGTCCAATTCCCATGATTTAGGTTTCCGCTTTTTGCAGAATGCAACCTTAGTTCCAAGCAACTAAGGGTTTTATCTATTCTATCATAAATTACACAATAAAAGATTGATGAACTGCTGTTTTGTAATAGCTAGTAGTCAATAAAACACTTTTCAGATCGAGACCCTGAGGTTACCCGAAAACACCAAAACATTCATAGAAAGAACTTACAGCATTGATCCGTATTTATTGGTACCGCCTGATAAAAATCATATGTGCCCGTTTTTTGCGTGAGTACCGGTGGATAGACCAACCTGTAAAAACATATATGCATACAAATATAGTGGGGGAATGTACATCACTTTGAATGCCTCGGAACATGTGCTTTATTTCCCTACCGTGGTTCAAAAGTCTGAGTGCTCTAAAGAGTCGCCCAAAAAAGTGCTTGTTGTTGCCAAAACG